TATATATATATATCTGATGGATATCTCTTTCAGAATATGAACGATTATTACCGCATCAGATATGACATTAAGTGGCATCAGTAATCAGAAGTTACAATGATTGGTACAGCCTGTACTTTGGAAGATGCGTGTCGGCAGGCTCAGGTGCGTGAAACAATTTTCAAACTGGAATTCTTTAATGCCTCAAAACTTTTAATTATAATTTATTTATTATTAAAAAGAACGATTTCGAGACACTCTATATATATCGATAAAATTGTCATTTTGTTATTATATATTCATTCCTTTGTTTATGTAGGATATGATTAATCTAGCATCTAGATGTTGGAAGAATACCCAAGGTCAGAATTCATTGACCTTAACATCGGATAAATCATTATCCTCTCAGAAAAAAGAACAGAGTTATTCCAGGCATAGTATCCAATCCAAACTCACCAGACTCTATTTTGAAGAACTTTCTAAAGTTCCTCATGCAACCCCAGATTCAGTTTTGGTATGTTCACTTTCTAAACATTTGTTACTAAATTGTTGCTTGTTTTTTTTTTTTTTTTTTATAAAAATATCGCAATGCGATAGTGTATTATATTTTTATGCAACATGCTGCTTTATTTTAAATTTTACAGAACAATCTTGAGAATGAGTGTGATCTTTTGGGGCGGTTAGTGCAAAGGGAAGGTTTAAATACATTAATCGTTAATCTTTATGCTGGTAATAAAGGATACTCATTAGCTGTAAGAAATAGGTATGCATTTGTCATGCTAATTATCTTTCTGAAACATTTGAAATGCTGGTTAACAATGATAGTATTTAATTTTTTAAACTTAATAATAATTGACTCTAATAATTCTATTAATTAGATTTAAGTTAAATTGTAAAGAAAAATCTTTCAATATTTGCGCGAAAATGAATATGATTATTAATTTAAACATTATTACTTTTGACTCTTTTGGTCACTTCAGTGTCAAATTGTTGTGTTTGTCTCTTTCCCTATATTGTAAAAATTATTATAATATTACATTGCTAAAATTAAAAAAATTTTAAACATTAATTCTTGTTGGGTTTAAAGCAGTTTGAAATATGCCAGAGAAGTAAAATACACTTCTTTATATATGTAATTAATTTATCAAAATAATCATTTGTTTTTAATTTTAGAATTAAATTTTAATATTAATACAAAATCTTATTTCTCGATAGTGATAAGGGGAATCAGTATGATAAAAATTCATTAGCTGAGACTCAACTCATGGGTTACGAACAGGGTGAGCTACTTTCGTGCATAGATAATGGCCAATTGCCAGCTATGCTAGCCGAACAACTGGAATCTAGTTATTCACATTTATTTTACGACGGCTGCATAATTGCTGAAGTTCGAGATTATCGAAGATCATTTCCTCACAACAGAGCTGATGTTCATCATGTACTTCTTAAACCTACCACACAGGTGAGACTTGTCATTAAATGTATCCATTAAAGACGACATAATAATATAATAATAAAACAGTATCAATGATTGAAGTCTATTCAATTATATTGAATACGATTTCAATAGGATTTAAATTAAATCGTGAGAATCATTGTTTATAGAGTGTACTTTCGGACGTATCGACACTTACGAGTGACGGAGATTGGAGCCACGAAGAGCGGTTAATGTTGGAATCACATCTAGTGGCAGCTACTCAAGGTCCTCTATGTCTGGATCCGAATCCTATTCCCACTTTAGCTAGTACAAGAATTAAGCAGTCTAAATCATTGCTTACTGATCATCAACTCATGCGACAAGCTAAAAAATTCTCTCAGGTAAGATTTTAATTTGAAACTTATTTATAATCTATTATTTGAGAATTGGAGTTCTATAGTGTGCGTGTATGCGTGCGTGCGTGCGTGCGTGTGCGTGTGTAATATTTATTAGATCAGGCCTGTGTCCAATTTGAGCTTTGGAGCCAAAACATAAAGCCATTGACACAAAAAAATTTAATGTAAGATTTCGAGAACTGCACAGTTGATATGCATCTGAGTGACGCTTATCAATACTTTACAGTCTCCGAAATCTTATCCATATTGAATTTTTTGCATTGATGATGCGTTTTGGCGCCGGAGTCAAATTGGACAGCTTGTAGATAGTAAATATCAAATAATAATACTTCAATGCTTCATGACAAGTTGTATTTTTATATATACAAAATTATATGAAAGAGTTAATCTTATATCTACAGAATTTAATTCTATACAAAGGATATTTCTATATATTTCTAAATCACAATAATTTTATTTAATTAATATTTATACATTGCTTATGCGGATTTAATTTGTACATAGCAGTAAATAGAAACATTGTGTGCTTGATATCAGGTCACAGTAAATCGTAAAAGAAAATTAGAACAGTTGGCTCAACCAGAAGGACAAACAATACATGACTTAATATTGAAATTCCGAAAGTCCGAAAATACAAAAAGAAGAGTATTAGCAACCAATACTGCCTGTCCACCGCCTTCTCTTACAAACCCTCCTCTGCTTCCACCGTCTACAGCAATCGAAGCTTTAAGGTACTTGGCACGGTTTTTCTTTATATTTTTATTTGTATTATTTGTAATTACTTACATTTTATTCTTTTATAACTTTTACTGTGAGATGTCCGCAAAATTAATTAACAATGGAATTCGATTAGATTCGCGAAAGTATACGAACGGCCACGAGAATCAAAAGACTGTTCGCCGCAAGTTGTAGAAGAATATATATTAGAACCTGCGGAAAGTCAGGATTATATAAAGCTCTCGATCCTGCAAAGACCCGCTACTTCCGAGTACCTGGGAGAACTTTATATGGACAAAAATCATCAGGATGGAGAGAGGAATGGTTCTTCTTGCCGGTACGATGAATAATAGTTCGTTCATTTGTATTAATAATATAACATATTATTGCTACAGGTTAACAAGCTATGTATTTTTGTGCAAAGCATGATTATTTACATAATAAATTTATTTAGCATAATAAATTTCTAATATTGACAATAAAGAATAATATTGACAATAAGAATCTTATTTTAAACCGTACATGTGAGAACACAATCGATAAACTAGAAGCCCAAACCGGTCGAGGCCCATACTGGATCTTTAATGCTTTTTAAATAAATTCTATTGAATTTATATACTAAATATGTAGTTATTTGAACTGCGCGCCGAAATTATTTTTTTCGAACTTATAAACACAATTAAACTCCTACAGTAATATCACAAATTAAGCATTAAGTTGATGCTCAATTTGGTATTCTATTAGAAAGATGTTAATGTACTGAAAAATTGTAAATAAATTTATTGTGAAAAATATTTGATCTGTTCGACTTGCTTACACTTTTTTATACTTAAAATGGGAATAGATGTTTTTTTGACACTTTGACATTTTGAAAAGAGAGAAAGCGAAGATGCTGAGTGTAAAAAATGTAAGCAAGTCAAACAGACCTATTACCCGGAAGTTAAACCTAGATCTCTTGTATTCCATACGAACGTTCTAAGCCTTTAAACTAACGAGACTTCTAATATTGAATTTATTTTCTAGATTTCCATTGGGTACCAGAGCTGTAGTTAATCACTACTATCAGCAATTTAAAGAAATATTTACCGAAGAAGGTAGGAAAAATGTAAGAATAAAACATATTGTACCAGGACAGGCTCCTCGTATTGCATGTACACCAGGCATGCAGCGAGCCCATCAACAGGTGCATTAATCTCATCTTTTTTCCATTTAACGTCGACTATTTTATTCTTTATCTTTCAACTATTTTTACTGAATCAATTTTTATTATTATTTTAGGCGCAACAAGCAAAAGCGGCGCAATTAGCTCAACAGTTGCAACAAGTTCAATCTCAACACTCTCAACATGTAGCACAACAGGTTTGTAAGCTCAGTTTATTTTTTATTTTTTTATATGTAAATGAATATCAGCAAGAGAACACTTAGCTTTCTTGAAAAAAAAAATATAAAAAATATATAAATATGTACACATTACAATCTTATAACAGCCATGCACACATTTTCAGCAAATCCGCGCGTCATTTCAGATTTTATCACGGGCTCAAGGGCAACTAACTAATTTGGCCAGTCAAGTAGCCTCGATGAAGGCTATGACAGAAGCTTCTACCTCTGCACAAAATAATCTTACGTGCGTGGACTCGGCAAATATGCCACAAGTTATTCCACAGAATGACGTTACCACATTGAGTTCAGCGCAATCTTTAGCCAATGGTGGCCCTAATGCGTCGACCTCCGTGCAAATTGATAACTCTGCGATGGCAGTAGCAGATAACACTTGTAATGGTTCTGGTATTCTGGTCTTTCAGAAGTCGGCTGGTACTATTAATAACGTGGCATCCACCAATGTTCCAGTTTTGGTAAACTTCCATATTTATTTCATAACAGACATTAAATTTGGTGATATCTACGATGACAATCTAATCGCGTTAAGTTTAAGATTTGTTTATTTAATCCTTATTATTTGCAGCAAGCGCAATTACAGGCGGGAACACAGAACTGCATAGGTGAAACTGCCAATCAGAGTCAAAGCGAGCCGCCGTTTAAGAAACATTCAAATAATCCAGCAATAAATGCTCTTGTTACTTCCCTCATGAATTCCGCACAGCAATTCCAACAACAAGCTGCAGGTTTGCTACTGCTCTACAATATATATCTTTGCATCCTTTAAGATTATATAATTCTGTTATATGCTTGTAGATTCGTAATATTGATATTGTATGTTATGTGTTTTGTAGCCAATGCTGCAGCTGCAGCTATGAATAACAATACACAAGCTACAAACAAGTCCAACAATGCCGCGATCCTTAGTTTATTAAATAGTACTCCTGCGAATATAGCTCAACGTAAGGTTCAATCCCAAAGGATCTCTCTTAATGCTTCCATACCACCTAGAGTTATCAGTCATGGCAATGTGATTAACGTGCCCAACACCACTGGTCAAGTATGTTTCATTAATTTGTTAATAATTGGTATTTTATATATTTACAGATTTTATATTTATACATTTAATATATTTTAATTAACATATATTTATATGTTTCAACATAAAATTGAACATAATTTTTATCAAATTTTTTCAATTAACATTTAATACTTGTAATATAACTAATAATTAATTATTTGACATAATGGTTATTTTGCCATAAAGTATGTAATATTACGTATCCAACTTATTATATTAGGTTTATTATATTAGGTACGCGTGAGTTTAAGCTCCTCTGCTTTAACGGGACAATTAAGTTGCAAGCAACAACCAGTGAAAGCAACTGCTGTAAGACTCGCGCGAGTCCAGGATCCTACATCTACTCTTGGGTTATCAATGCCGGGACTTTCGGCTTTGCTTGCTGGTACAGTATATCTATAAATTAATGCTGTTTATCAGCAAAAATGTAGAATACAGTTTTTATATTTTAATTTATTACGAATTTAATTTATTAAAAATTCTTTGATTAAATTATACTAAAATTTGAATACTAAATTCATAACTCTACCATTTTTTAATAAACTTTTATACATATAATTTAATATTTTGAACATTTGAAATGAAATATAAATATTCATCAAATATAATTAAATAGTCTTGTTTTTCTTTTTTATTTAATTTAATTCTAGATCAATTTCTTTTTCTATTTTTGTTAGAGAGAGAGAGAGAGAGAGAGAGAGAGAGAGAGAGAGAGAGAGAGAGAGA